AATTAGCAAATAATGATTTGACATAATGTGATGTAATTAAGAGAGTAAATTAGCTAGATAAAGTAAAGATTCATAGGTTGAATACTACGTACATTACATTATAAACTGATTTTTTCTTTTTCTTTTTTGGTGGCAATAGGCTAACCTAAACTTTTATATGATTCATAATCTACTAGTTTTGCATACTCACCCAAGTAGATCATTCCAAAACTTAATGTCATGCATTAGTTCTTAAAGGGAGTCTTTAAAAATATGTTCCTGGTTTGAACCAAAGCCACCCAAACTATCATTTGGGGATAAATATCATTTTAATCCCTCTACTTTCGATTTTGATTTTAGGTTCATTTTAGTTTATGTATTTTTTAAGGGTAAAAAAATAAAATGTCTATTTTAGTCCATGTAGTTATAACAAATGATTATTTTAGTATTTTTAATATTTTTATTTCATTTTTCGATTACAATTTCAGCTATAGGAATCAAATTGGTTATTTTTTAAAACTACAAAAATTAAAACGAACGTTCTAAACCAAAATGAGTATAGCTCAGCGGTAATCAATGTTCAAAATATCGATGTCGATGGAAATGTCGAGGTTTCGATTTTATGGACATGTCGATGAACATGGCGATGTCGATGGATATTTCGGGAAGAATTACGAAAATAGTGAATATTGATGGAAATTTTTTAAATTAGTATTGCTTAATTAGCCTATGACTAATCACCTCTAACCATTATATCTAATCATATAAGTAATATACTTATAAAAATATAGTTACGATGAAAATGTTGAAACAAAATCATGTATATATATGAAAATTATTTGAATAAGTAAATTAAAATTTAATGTTACTTTTTATTGATAATTTCTAATCTAATCTAATTAGTAATTGCACAAAATATTTGAAATATATATATATATATATATATAATATGAAATAATTTTTAAAAAATTAGATTTAGTTTAAAATTTAAATATTTAATAATAATTAGTTAAATGGATTATTTTTATTATTTTGTTTTAAGATTTTGGTTAGTTAAATTTAATTTAAAATTTGTTTTTCTTTTAAATCAATTACTTGAAGATTTAATTAGATTTTTATTCACGTTTGTTTGTTTCTTTTTTTCTTGAACCATAAGAATTAAACTTTTCTAAAATTTAAATGTTTGATAATAATGAGTTAAATTGATTTTAATTATTGGTTTGTTTTAAGATTTCATCGGTTAAATTTAATTAATTTATTTTTCTTTTAAATCAATTACTTTAAGATTTTGTTAGATTTTTTTAGTTAAATTAAATTTAAATTAAGTTTTTTATATATCGAATGTTTATAATCTATTTCTTTAAGATTTTATTAGATTTTTATAGTTAAATTTAATTTGACGTTTGTTTGTTTTTTTTTCGTTACCTTTTTTGGTTCAAAAAAATAAGAATTTAACTTTAATTTCTTTAAAAGAAAAATAAAAAACGCCCAATGTTCGGATAATTTCTTACTATTATTTTCAATACTCTTCCCAAACTTTGAATTTACGCAAAATTGAAAAAGGTTTTGAACATAAATCTTTTTTTTTTTTTTTAAGTTTGGATTCAAAATTTTTTATCTATATTTTTTTTTTTTTGAAAAACAACAAATCTTCCTCTAAATCTTAACATGTCGATGTGTTGAGTGAAATTTTGAACATTGACGATAATTGACATATATTTCCAGTGAAGAGGAAAAATTCGATGGTAGAGGTAATCAATGAGTGGGTTTCCCAAATTGCCCTCCGGTTGGAGGGGTAATCAATGGTTTTGTCCCGCAAGGAAGGGCCAGGGGGAATCATTTCAGCTGGGTGGGTCAGCGACAAAAGCTGGGGCCTTTGTATTTGTACAAACTTTTTTCTTCACTTTGCTTCAAACCCATGTCTTGTCTCGTCTCTCTTCCCTCACCATAAAAACCAAAAAGCCAAAAACAAGGGCATTCTTGGAAATTCATCCTCACTGTGCCATCACCATCCAAATCAAACCACATCACTATATTTGTTGATTTTGAGGTTCAATGTCTTATATGATTTGTGTTTGATAGGTTCAATCTTATGTCAAATTAAATCCTTGTGTCCAATAGATTATTATATCTTTTCAACATTTTTTTTAACATGTCTAGATTTACTAGACACGAAATTGAATTGATTAATACCGTAGAATTTCAATTCTTCAAAATGAAATTTGATATGTTTTACATTTTTTAAGTTTATAGATCTACGAGAAATAAAACTTAAAGTCCAGGAACCAAACTTGTAATTTAACACGGACATTCGGTGTATTTAGTATATTCAGTTGCTTATGTTTACATTCTTTGACAATTATGACCAACGACTATGAATATTTTTATTGTTGGGTGCTTCTATTTCTTTTATGTGAGAAATAATACTTTTAGTCAAGTTGGATATTTTTTTAGCTTGGTTTCGACACTTTTTGTTTTACATATTTTGTTGCTAAATTTAGGTATCTCCATGGTTCACTTTGGCATTTCCGAGGATTAATATTTTAAGTATTTTATTGGTTGAATTTTGTTTTTTAGTTCATGCAATTTTTCGATTTAGTATTGAGCAAGTTTTTTTTTTCACTTATTCATGAGAGAGTGGCACTTTCATACCTTCTTAAAATTCATAGCCGTCTCACGAATATCTTT